CTTCATCTCAAAAATCTCACATTTCATTTGTGTAATCTCTAAAACCTCCTAAATACATGTCAAATGCTTGTTTTCAGTAAAACTTATATTTTATATGTTATTTTCTCTAATCTAACTATACGTGGTTGGTCAATTTGACCGACCTCGTAACTACCAAAAAATAAAAATTTAAATAAATCTAAATTACCCTTTTTTCCTTCTAGAATGACTTCAAATATGGCAATAGGGTTAACATGTACTGATGGAAATAATCAGTCTTATGACCAACTAGTTTTGTTTGTTTGTTTTTTTTTTTAATTTTGGATTCTTACCTGATTGAGCTACTGTACTGCCTTGAGATAGGCTCAGACTTTTGTATTTATTCTATTTGGTTTATTTCATTGGGTTTAAATTTGAGACAAGGTTACCTTTTCAATACATATTGGGAATTTTACTTTTTTGTTACTGTTGTAGATGTAGAATTTTTAACACACAATCTTTTGACCATAGATTTATGGGTCAACTATTTTCACATAGAAGTGTGGAATTTTTAAATTTGTATACTATCTGTTTGACATATATTGTCAATATAGACAGTGTTATATCTCTAAATTTTAATTTACTTGGGGTATATTCATAATTATACCATGTTTGTCCACAAAGAATCATTGCCATGAAGTAATAGCAAGGTAAATGTAATAAAGTAAAAAAAAACATCATCAGAAAATGGAGAAAACGTTTTTCTCAAATGAACATTACAATATGATGATTTTTTTTTATATAAGAAAACCAGTGTTAAATATAAAGTACAAACTCACCATAAAGAAGCTGTTACAGGCAGTTAGCCCTCTTGACTAAATTTTTCAAGATGTTCTGGGGTTTATACTTCCATTATACAAAACTTGTTAAGTTTAATTGTCTTGGATTTCATACGTTGAAAGCTTTGATGTTTGTTTTTCTTAGTACATCAGGTCAGACCTCAGCCAATCAACACTCTTCTCGATCACATGCTGTTTTCCAGATTAATTTGAAGTTCAGGTAAAAAAAAATAATTTTTTTTCGGAGTTCACTAAAAAGTGGAATAATGAATCAAACTATAACCAACATCTATTTCTTGCATTTTTATAAAACTTGTACACCTGCTGAGGCTTTTTTTAAAGATTTATTGAGACTATATTTGAAATGTAGATAATAGTAACTTCCACTTAAACAAAAGTGTCATACAGTGAGTAACTTACATTCCTTATTCATAAGATTCAGAGCTTCTCCAGCTTCGAGGTAATAGATTTTTCAGGAATTGGAAAACTTCTACTTATTACATGTTCTGAAACTCGTGCATAGCATAAGTCAGGACAACTTTAAAAATTTCAACATATACATATAGACACATGATCTAGGAAGAACCTACTTCTGAACTGATAGGAACAGACAACTTGTAGTTAATAACTAAGTACACATTTAGTCACCCATGATGCCATATGCTGTCTTCGTTATATGCTGTTAGCATTTCCATATTAATGAAAAATAGAAGTATGCAAGAATATCTGTAAATGGCTTACATGTACATTTAAAATATTATTTTAAAATTTTTATTTTTTATGATGTTATAATGTTACAGTTTTTGCTACTTAGTTTTAAAGCCAGATTGTTTATGATTTCATAGTAGAATCCTTGTTTTGTGATTGATTTTATATTCTTTCATTTTTCAGTAGCACTCAAAAATAGCTTGTATTAAATTCAGTTATGTAATGTATTCGTCTTTATATACATGCGTGCAGTAGGTACATTTCAAGTATCCAATACTGAAAAAATATCTGGGACAAATCGTGGGACTTCTCCAACTTTTACAGTTTTGATTTTTTGGGGGATGACAAGGAAGGAAACCTCGTGTGCAAGTGGAAGCATAGTAGATCTTATTTTTTCAAGCTTATCATTGGTAAACAGTACTGTACAGCAACAGAAGTAAAACAGTGAATGTTGAAGAAGCCCCAAGATTCATACCAAAACTTCTATGAAAACATATTATTCTGCTAGCGTTATTTGGTTATAACATGTGATCTAAGTCACACAATATATAATCACCAGAAAACTGAGATTCCCCCGGGATGCATTATATGCATAGCCAAGGTTAATGCATCTGTGTGGAGATATATGGGGGGTGGAGGTTAGTGTATGCCATAGATTTCATGGCAAAAAGCACACTTAGAAACAGATATCATGCTGCAAGCTCAACAGTAAAGTGCAGTGAAAGGGTTAACAAGAAACAGGAGAGAAATTTGTATCCTTACCCACAATTTATTTATAAATTATAGTTTTCCTTCAATTTGTATAGAAACAGATGGAATAAAAACTTATAACTTGGACTCACAACACCATGATGGGAAACTGTGATTATGTAACAAAAACCTTCAGTGGATGTTGTTGTGTAAGATGTACATTATCTAATTAAATAGATGAATTTATATTGGTTTCAGGGTGTTAGTTTGAATGATACTAAGAGAAAGGGAAACATATTGTCAAGAATACATGTCTGTGTTTGAAAATGCATTGTTTCAATAATTAAACTGACCTTATTGGTTTATCTTAAGAGACAAAACAGGTATTTAAATGCTTTAGTAAACTATCACTATAAAAAGAGAACTTGCATTATTCACTTTTCTTAGATTAAGATATAAATATACACATTTTCTTCTCCTTCTTCAAAAAAGAACTTCAGGAAGACTTCATGGAAAATTGTCTTTGATTGACCTAGCTGGAAATGAACGTGGAGCAGACACTTCAAGTTCAAACAGACAGACGAGAATGGAAGGAGCAGAAATCAACAAGAGTTTGCTAGCACTAAAGGTAGATTTAACATAAAAGTTGGACTCAAAATCTTTTCACTTTATGTACTTCGGTTAACTTCTTTTTCCATCAAACTTAAATTGTTAATTGTCAAATATCACATAATACAGCTTTGAATCATTTTCATGATATCATTAGGTAATTCAAATAATGATTGGATATTTTAATACGTGTGACTTGTGTACCAGAGGTGGCCAATCTACGACATGAATGCTGCAAGTGACACACATGAAGTAAAGACTTGTGATACACCTGTCATTAAGAAAATATCACATGTTATGACATGTAGCACAGAGGTTGGGCAGAATTTCTGCACACTCATGAAATGTTATTAATATTGATTTCATATTGTTAATTATTTCATTTAAATCTTCCAGCATGGGCTCGGTCCCTGGGACCGACCTCATAACGATTTTGTGCTTGTTGTAGTTTTCATGCTATAGCTTTTAAATTAGTAAGCATATGTTACTGAAATTTGACAGATTATCAGTAAACATTACGGTGCTTTCATACCTCTCCAACCTACAAAATAATTTTCATTTTAAGATTAAAAATGCTTTTATGTATCAGAAAATTTTCAAATTTCACATGCAAAATTTTTATAATGTCTTGATAGTTATCAAACATTTCTTATGAAAAACTTTATATTTTATTTGTTATTTTCAGAAAGAATCTGTATGGGTTCTGTAGATTTGACTGATCTCATAACCATCATAAAAATTAGGAAATAAATGTAAATTATGCCT